GGGGGAGGGGGGGAAAGGAGGGATAAATAGGGGACATCTGTAATACTGTCAACAATTAATTTTTAAAAAATTTTAAATAAGAAAGGAGTGTACTTTATTTATGTTGTTTCTCTTGTGGATCCAAAGAGGTGTCATTAAAAAAAAAGGAGGGGGAGGGAGCCAAGATTTGGACAGGGACTTCTAATAGTTCTCTTACTCTAAAATCACCCTCTAAAGGATGATTTAATAATAAATAAATGCATTTCGGTTTCCAGTTCATGAAATGTGTTGCACCGCTAGTAAAGAGCTCTGCAGATGTTGGTCAATAATAATATAACAAAGTCCTGGCTGAGTGCTTAGAGGTAAAATCTCTGCCCTCAAGGATCCAGAGTGAACACACATATTGCTCCTGGCAGCTTCCACTTTTCTAGCCCCTTCGCCATGCAAGCTACTTTCCATATCACTTTCACAACATCTCTATCACTGGGCATCTTATTTCTATTTTACAGATGAAGATCCCAAGACTATGTGAAGTTAAACTAGATCAATGAGAGAACACTTTAAACCTTAGCAGCTCCCCTCACTTCACATCCATCCTTCTTGCCCATTACCTAGAGGAGGTTATAGGTGTGTAGATTTCGAGGCAGGTGTCTGTTAAATGATACAATACAGATCCAATACTCCATAAAGCACAGTACAGGAAAAAAATTTTAAAAATATCCTGATTGTGGAGATCAGGTAAGTCCTGTGTGGGAAGAAGATTAGTGTTGGAATTGGATGGCTGAGTCTGATGATATTAAATGATCCCTTTGACTATGGGAGGAGGGGAAGCACTGCAGGACAATCAGCTGGAAATGTGAGTTGAGACGATACGATACGATGTCTGATATTGATGAGCTCATCATTGTAGCTGAAGGGATGACCAGGCTGGGAGAAGATAGGGTGCAGCAAGAGATGGAACTGGGGATGTGTGGGAGGGGTAGAAGAGAAGTTGGTGAAGGAGACTAGGAGGGGAGCTGTAGACACAGAGGAAAATCAGGAGAGTATAGTACCGATTCTTGTAAAAGACTGAAAATAAATAGCAAGGGACAAACCAAGCATTATGTTCTCTATACAGAGTCTGATATACAGTGAATACCCATGAACTATTATGGTGTGTCTGTATTTTTAACATCTAACATCTGGCATGTAATTTCCTCTTTTGATATCACTTTTCTGTGGAAAGGAAGCCTACATATATATTTTACATGAATTCAATTGGAGTGGACAAATATCTGGATTTTCAAAAATGGGGAAAGAGATTCTGCAAATCAGATGAAAAAGGAACAGCGTATCAATGTAAACATTTTCTTTTGTAGGGCCCTAGACTTGGAGGTTAGGGAGGTTCTTTCACATAGAGATTTTAACGTTGGATACACTGTTGATGATGTCTCATATCTGTGGGACAAGTGAGGAGAAATGTAAGCTGTGTGTTAGCTATTTGAAAATCTATACTTAAACCCAGAGGCAAGTCGTTGGTAACAGGTAAATGACTCTGTTCTTGATCCTGATTGGGCCAACATTTTTGTTACCTGAATGGAAATATGAAAAAGTGTGACAAGCAAATGGAAGTTAGACTTATACTCAAGTACTAGATCTGCAAGGACTGGCTGGGAGAGCCACCTGTTAGGATGATGGGCACAAGTCACAGGATGAAATAAAGGAGACAACATGTCACAGCTAGCTAGAGTCTAGTGCTGAGGACATTTGG